TTCTAAAAAAAGAAAAACGAGAAGGGTCCACAACGGTTGCACAACATGTGCAACATCGTCTCCGTACGCATGATAGTTTTCTCCGCAAGATACTTCCAACATCTTAAACGTGGCGTGGTTTCCAACTGAAGTGCGTCGTCCTGAGTCTTCCCTGCTGCCGTTCCTCCCTCCCAAATCCCCCCTCAACTCCGAACCAACCGACCCTGTAGCCGCGGCGGCCGGAGACCGAACAACTGCCGCCTTAATGGCGACCGGCTCCATTAAAATGGTTTCCGATCAAACGGGCGGCAGCCCTGCGAGCGGACGACCGAGGGGGGAGATCCGAGGAAGCGGCGGGGAGGATCGATGGCGAAGGGGACGACGGAGATGGAGGTCGGGTCCGACGGCGTCGCCGTCATCTACATCGCCAACCCGCCCGTGAACGCCCTCTCCATCGACGGTGAATCAATCCCTTCTTCCTCTCCTCCTTCGTCAGCCGGCATTTGGGAGAGAGATTCCCAACAGCCTCCTTACCTAGGGGCTGTCTGCTAGTACTTGCCATTCTTCTGTGTCCTTGGAATAATTCTTAGATACATTTGGGGAATAAGTTTTCTTTTAAAGGAGGATGACCTCCTGCCTCTCCATGGAAATGCACGCAGCCACTTTATGAATTATTCACAAAGACCTTACAAAGTTAATATATCAATGTGTTTGAAGCCGTCATCTTGGCAACATCTTTCGCTACTCCTATCCATTGATGAAGGGTGCAGAAAGTGTGAGCCGAATATCCAGACCTCTCACCTAAGCCTAAAATCTAAAGCCGGAGGCCCCAACCAAGCCACATACCAGGTTTGGGGCACAAACCGGTCCAACGCACTCTCATAGGTCGTCGCCGCCGTCTTCCATCGATCCATCTTCAAAGCAGATACTCCACGTTTGGGGAATAAGTAGAATACTGACTAGTGATCATTTAGATGCAAATTTTCTATCAAGTAGATCAACAGGTTTCACGAAAACTATTTGCTCCTTCAGACCTCATAGAATATTAGCCATTAATTATTTAAGTTCTTTTGCCTAACATCTTTCTCGTCATATATTTTCAGTCCTGTTTAGCTTGAAAGGGCACTATGAAGAGGTGCTTCGAAGGAATGATGTGAAAGCTATTGTTCTTACAGGTAAAATAGACAGTTTAAGATACAAGTATGATTTTGTGGATAATGTGCACTTCAAAAAATCCTTAAAAAATGCACGCACCATAATCTTGCCGGTTTTTTCTCATCTTTTACTCTGTAGCAGTTTTCCTTCATGTGAATCATTTTAAAGATGTGTGTGGAAATTCTTTTTGGTGGAATTAATTTTCCTTTCATGTGGGAATTTTTAACAGGAACTGGAAGGTCATTTTCTGCTGGACTCGATATTAGTGCCTTCGCTGATATTCGCAAACGTACGATTAGCCCCCATTAAGCAAATTTTCTGTCGAGATCGTCATTTTACCGTGTCTCTACATACCTACTATGCCAACATTGACATACAAAATTTATATGTTTCTAATAGCGGAGCAGCTAAAGGATCACTGCATATTGATTGAAGCCATGACTGATATCTTCGAAGGTGTTTGAGCAATTCATCATCTTTTCTCAAATACTATCTTTCTGGCATACACGTACCATTAGACTAGTAGATTTAAAAGTTCCATAATACATTTTTCATGGGCGTTATCTCTGTCAGATGCTGGGAAGCCATCAGTGGCTGCTATTGATGGCCCTGCTCTTGGTGGAGGTTTAGAAATTTCCATGGTACAGAGTTGACCTCCTTCCTTAGTTCTTCACCTTACAAGAGAAGTTCTGAAATGACAAGTCTTACTAAGTTTGAATTCTACTATTAGGTATGCCAAGCACGCATTTCAACTCCTAATGCTCAATTAGGCCTCACGGAGCTTCAGTTTGGAGTAATACCTGGATTTGGAGGTAGTGTCACTTTTATATTTTCTTACAGAAATAAGGCTATTATTATCTATACTTGATGTCGCAGCTGATCCAGTGATTTCCCTTGATTACACTAATATAGGAGAGAAAGTTAATGTATTGATGTTCCTTGTGATAGGCTATGCACTCCAGTTTACCATATGCATCACAAAACATAATTAAGTTATTTCCCTTCCGTTTTTCCTTGTACCATGCCATGCAATAGATTATGAATTATTAATACGAAGAACTGCTATCATGGAATTGTACTTTATACGATGTGTTTGGCACTGGTCGATCCCACATTTCAGGAACACAGCGCCTTCCCCGCCTTGTTGGACTGACAAAAGCACTTGAAATGATGATGGTACGTTCATTTACTTCTTTCATATGCTATTGCACATTAACTTCTTACATTGAAAACCTTGAAACACACTCATTTTCACCAGCTCTCGAAGCCAATTAAAGCCGAAGAAGCCCATGAGCTGGGTCTGGTCGACGCTGTTGTTTCACCTAACGATTTGTTGAATAATGCCCGCCGTTGGGCTTTGGACATCTATGAGTCGAAAAGGCCATGGGCCCGAGCCCTCTACAAAACTGACAAGCTTGAATCCCCTGATCTGGCCAGAGAGATCCTCAATTCTGCCAGAGTTCAGTCTCGGAAGTGGGCTGCCAATCTTCAGTATCCATTCGTCTGTATCGATGCTGTCGAAGAAGGTATAGTTTCAGGGCCACAAGCCGGGCTTCGGAAGGTATGATTTGCTTTACTGTTTAGTACTCTCTCCGTCCCAAAATAAGTGTCTCAGCTCTAGTACAACTTTGTACTAAAGTTAGTACAAAGTTGAGACACTTATTTTGGGACGGAGGGAATATTTGGCTTGACAAGAAAACTATATTTAAGATTTCACGTGAGTTGTGTGCAACACAAATGCAGGAAGCCATGGCTTTTCAGGAACTCTTTTTCTCAGATACATGTAAAAGCTTGATTCATGTGTTCTTTTCACAACGTGCAACATCAAAGGTAGAGAACAAGGAAAAAACACTGTGCCTGTTCCAGATAAAATGTCATGCTTTTGAGTTGCATTGTTTGAAGCCATGAGAGTATGAGATATGCATGTTGTGGGCAGAATTGTACCCACTTACCTGTAGCTATATTATAATGTAGAATGCCAGCCTTATATCAATTGCAGCAGGTTCCTGGGATCACAGACTTAGGTTTGATGCCAAGGAAGGTATCTAACGTTGCCATTGTTGGTGGTGGACTTATGGGTTCTGGAATCGCAACCGCGCTGATACTGAGCCATTATCCTGTTATACTGAAAGAAGTCAACGAGGAATTCCTAAACGCAGGAATTGACAGGATCAAAGGTAGAGGATGGCTTAACATTACCTCATCACTTTCTATCTGAATATTCTTTCATCTTGGTGTCCAGACCAACCAGAAAATGAAAGTGGGGTGTCTAACTATAACACTTTGATCAGAAAACTTGCAGAGTCGTGTAAGGAAAGGAAAAATGACAAAGGAGAAATATGACAAGACCCTCTCACTTCTTACAGGTGTCCTCGATTATGAAAAATTCAAGAGTGTTGACTTAGCAATCGAGGCAAGTTCTATATCTAATTACCTTACATCTGCTGCATCAAGCAAAGAATGGTAGGAGAGAGTCCTGCTGGAATATCGCTTTCGCTATTTTAGTTAACCCGGTTATCCTTATGCTGCTTGTTCAGACAGTCGTAGAGAATGTGAAGTTGAAGCAGCAGATTTTTGCTGAACTGGAGCAACACTGTCCTTCCCATTGTATTCTTGCCACCAACACTTCCACCATTGATCTTGACCTGATCGGAGAGAAGACAAATTCCCAAGACCGCATTGTTGGCACACACTTCTTCGCGTAAGGAAAATCTAATCAGATTCAGAATAAACTCCTTAGTTGTGATTCCTGAACTACCTCCTGATACACTCCCTTTTTTTTGACAGTCCAGCTCATATCATGCCTCTTCTTGAGATAGTCCACACCCCTCGCGCATCTTTGCAAGCAGTTGTCACCTTGCTGGATGTGGGGAAGAAGATCAAGAAGACACCAATAGTGGTCAGAAACTGTACCGGCTTCGCGGTCAACCGGATGTTCTTTCCGTACACTCAGGCAGCACTATGGCTTGTCGATCATGGAATGGATGTTTACAAGATCGATCAGGCTTGTACTGAATTCGGGATGCCAATTGGTCCATTCAGGTATTTAGACAACACTAAATCTCTTTTGCGGTATCTAATCTCTTTCAATTCCGACGATTCAAACGGGAATGCTCATCAGTGGGACTGTCAGCATCATTTGGCTTGCCTCATGCACTTATGCTGATCAAATCATGTTGAATCACACACCATTTTCATTTAAAGAGCTTCTCTGCAGAATGACAGATCTGGTTGGTTTTGGAGTTGCTCTAGCCACAGGCATGCAGCACCTTGAAAACTTCCCTGAGCGGGTCTACAAGTCAATGCTGATTTCTCTCATGACTGAGGACAAAAGAACAGGTAAAGCTAATCATTTATAACTTGCAACGCTTCCTTGGTTCCCATTGGTGAGTATGCTTTCCTTGTTTCTGTTTCTGTTCCACAGGTGAAGCCTCTCAAAAGGGGTTTTACAGGTATGATAGTAAGAGGAAGGCGAGCCCTGATCCTGAAATCATGAACTATCTCGAGGAGTCGAGGAGAATTGCAGGAGCCACACCTGATCCCGAGGTTTGGTTTCGCTTTCCAGTGTTTTTACCTACGTTCCTTTGTTCTTCACTTTGTCAATATGATCTTTTCTTGAGGGTTTGTGAAAGAAAAAAAAAAGAGGAAATGTCAACATATGTTTCCCAGTACACATTAAAAATAGGTTCTTCATGAGGTTAGTGTTGGCTTGTAGATAGTACGTGTTGATGGAATGATGGTCAAATAAGCAAGGCAGCTTTCAAATTAACCTGCTCTCTTTGGTGAAATCTCACTATGTGGTGGACAGATATAAGCTAAACTAGTTTCAATATTGATGGCAGATAGACTGTCTCACTGGTGCATACATTTATTTGGACTGAATGGATCTCTTACTCTCCATGCACACCATAATTCCAGTTAAAGGCATAATGTTGCTAGATATCAGAAACACCAATGGCCATTTGTAATCACCATGATTCTTGTACATGGTGGCAGTTGCTCAAGCTTGACAACAGCGCGATAGCAGAGATGGTGTTGTTCCCGGTTATCAACGAAGCCTGCCGTGTCCTGGGGGAGGGCATTGCCTTCAAGGCCTCTGACCTCGACATCGCCTCCATCTTCGGAATGGGTTTCCCGCCATACAGGTGCCGTCTCCGAATCATTTATAATTTTGTACGCTAATAAGATGATTGGTCGAGCTCCCTGACTGCCGACGAACTGCTGAGGAAACCAATTGTGAAATGCAACCAGGGGTGGCATCATGCACTGGGCGGATTCCATCGGCGCAAGGCGCATTTGCGCGATGCTGTCGGAGTGGGAGATGAAGTATGGCCAGTTCTTCGAACCTTGCAGCCACCTGTTGGAGAGGGCGGCTGAAGGTCTTCCTCTGGTGAGAACAATGTCTGCACACTGCAGTCTGGTTCTTCAGATATCCCAATTAAATTTTTGTGTGAGATTTCTGCGTGTATTTTCATTATTGTGTCCTGAAAATCAAATGAATTCCATTTGCAGAGCGCATTGGCGACGAAGACGATGAACAACCAGGCCAAGGGCAAGCTGTAGTTTCTTTTCCTCATTCTACCATCATTTGTTTTTTGCTTAGGTTGATGCAGAATAAGAATAACGTGGCTTCAAATCGCTTCAGACTGGGAAGCTGCTGAGTCATGGAAGGGGAGAGCCAGAAGACTGAATAAACAAGTAACGATTTGAAAAGAAGTTTCTTGTTATTTGGCCGAGGTGATTTCACAAAAGTTGATCATGCAAAATGTGTCTGAATAAGAGTGATCAAAGATGCGCCGCACGAACTCCATTCGAATTGTATCAAATTTCGATCATTGGATATATCATGTGCGACTGGATTATATAGGGAGTTTAAATCTTGGTGTGTGAAAGAGGTGTTCAAGCAGGATGATCTAGCAAGAGTTTGAACTTTGTACTCCTGTTTTGCAAGTATTTAGTGCACTATTAAGTTGTGTTTTATAATAAGCAGGTCACTCGTCTGAGATCATAAGTGGTCTTGTTAATCGTAAGTGTAGTGTACCAGTATCAATACCAGCACCAGTTAAGACTAATCACATTGTCATCTCTCATCTGTGAACATGCACTAAATAAGTACTGTAGAGACTAAATGTTTATCTCCTTGGTTGAATGGTTGTTAATATCTTAGATGTGCTTTCATGGGAATCAACCCAGTCATTATTTGTATATTTTGATAAGCAAACTATTCCAACCCAGAAAGGATTGGTCATGGAACTACAACCAAAAATAGCTCGGTGTCCATGTCCTCATGGAGGGAACCTCCCTTCCCTTTCTTTTACCGAGGTCTCACTTCGGTTGCTTTTGATGCCAAAGACCTGAACCCGTCTTACTCCCTCTGTAAACTAATAAGACGTAAAATGAGAGAAGTGCCCGCAAAAAACATATATGAGAGAAGTAAATGTACTTATCAAAAAGGGCAGATGCATAGGAAACAATTTAACAATAAGAACTCCTCGATTTTCTAATCCATGTGCCATTTAATATGATCAATCTATATATCTAATAGATCCTTACTGCCAGCAACTACTCATGTTTTATTGCCCTCTGGTTCATCCACATCAACATCTTTTTTTGGGTCTAATTTACTTTACAATTCCCTCTCCAGAGTGTTTATTTTTAGTCCACATAAATGTAGGCATGCATACACGACTCCAAAAGCCTCGTGGCTTTAGGACAACAGACCGCATCAATATATGCATTCCATGCACCTATCAACTTGTACAACCAAATCTTCGGAATTGATTGAGATGACTGGCACAACCCCAACCAACAGTACATCAATAGAGAAGATGATCTCGCAATAAAAAAGTAGAGAAGATTGGAACCTATATCGGTAGTAAAAAACACATTGGACCGACGGATGAAGCGTGGAAAAACATTGCCAAAGTCATATGCAGGTAGTATATAGTTAGTGTATGTAGGACTGAGAGGCATCGGTGATCTAGTGACGTATATATCTCGTAGCACAGCAAGGTGCAAGATTACTCTCCGTGTAGCTTGTGAATGATTATTTGTACCAGTGAATAGTGGACTAGAACCACGGTGGTGGCTGCCACTGGTTCCTCTTCCTCAGACTGGTCCCTCTTCCTCTTCCCCAGATCGATATAAACTGTGCAGTTCTATTGTGCGTAATCCAAGAGATGTCTTGGTATCTACTAGTATGGGCTGTTAAACCACATATGTCACGTGGTATGGCTGTCACGTTGGGATGTTCTCACGTCAGGAATAGAGTAGGCTGTTAGGAGTTTGGGGCTTGCTTCGGTAGACCCCCTCCCCCCAAACAAAACGTAGAAGGGCAGAATAGTCATACAAAAGAAGGGTACCTCGTATTGTACGGTTGTAGCTGGCATACGTAGACCGCGCGCATGCAAAAAAAAAACTGCCTGCACGATCTACCCGCCCACCCCATCTACTCGCCCGCGACCCCGTCTACTCGGCCGCCCCATCCGATCACCGCCGCCGCGGATCTCCGCCCTCCGACCCCGTCCGCCGCCGCCGTCCGAGCCCGTCCGAAGCCGCCGTCGCCGTCCCAACGGCGTGCGTCGCAGCATCTCATCGTCATCGTCCACTGCCCGGACGT